TAGACGCTTTTAGCTTTTTCATTCTCATTGTCGTCGATCCGTTTTACTCTATGATTATCCATATTACTCGGACTATAACGAAATCTTTACAAAAGGAACTTTTATCAAATTTACAATATCAAAACCATTATAGGAAGAATAAATGTAAAATTCAGTAAGATGAACACATGTAAAACTTCATATCATTATTACATGAAGATCAATTAGTAATATTTTAAGATTTGTAACTCCCAATTAAAATAATGAGAGTTACATAAGAATGATAAATTACCTAAATACCCTTACAATTAATATGTGAGTTACATTTGAACGTAACTAAAAGATGAAACATGATTGGTTGATGTTGGTTAGCATAGTTTGCACAACAATTTTGGTTAGTATTTGAACCAATATCTCTCTCTCTATATATATATATAATTATTTTAAACAATTTGAATTGAAAAAAAACGCAATCCACCAAAATGACACGAGCCACTATATTGTCCTCTCGTCATAAACTAAAAAAAATTAGGTTCGTAAAAGTTGTAATCGTATAAAGAAATTCTTGAGTGTCTCTCTCTATGAAACCAATTGGGTGACATGTAGCATTTTGGTGTTTAATTAGTTTTTTTCTTTTTTATTTAATCCCGATTTAAGTTATTTATCTTATCAGTTATTTTTTTAGATAATAAAAATATATTTAATAATGTTTAAGGATTTATTTATTTAAAAAAATTCTAATAATATAAACTTGCATTAAAGTTTCCGGTTGTGTACCCAAGTTATAATGTTTGGATTATTTATGTATTTCCTTTCTGAAGTTAACTGCCGACGTGGATATTCCAACACCAGATTACTTGTACTCTGAATTCCTGCCACGGCGGATCAAACCAAAAAGTTACAGCATCGTCAGCACACGAATTACCAGAAACTGTTGTTTTCTTGATCCCAAAATTTTGGATTCAGAGTTCCATCGTTCCCCCAATCGAATCAATTTCCCTTTAGGGTTGTGAAAATCTAGATCATCACAAACTACTATTACTATCTCCCCTCGTTTATTTATTAATGTTTGAGGTTCTCAATCAAGCGTTAGGGTTTCATGGCAATAAAGGCTATGGAGACGTTACAGGATCTGATCGAAGAAGCAAAGCTTCGTACTGTGTGGTGGGCTATTTGTATTTTCGCTATCACTTACATCTTAACCCGTAAGTTTCTTGAATTCCTGTTTCATTACGTAGTGAATTAATTCTATTTGTTTGTTTGTTGGTTTTAATCGTTCTTGTTTTGATTTCAATCCAAACTAGGATGTTTTTCCCCCATTGCTTTGACCCGGAACTTGGAATCGAATTCTAAAATGGCAATTGTTGCATGAATTTTGGATAAAACAGTGTTAGATTGCCTTAGCCACATTGCATTGATTGTTGCGCCAGCCAACTACATCTGAATGTTGATTACTTGATTGTTTGATTGTTACAGACACCAGTAAATCAATGTGGATGAATGTTCCTATAGCAGTTTTTCTGGTATCAGGGGTTCATATTTTATTAAACGAAGTGGATTTCCATTGGAAGATCAGGAAACCCCGCGGACATTCATATTTGGCACACCTCGAGAAAAAACAACTGTCTGTGAATGATTCTCGTCTTTCCACCCTGCCTCCCCTGCCTAAATGGAAGAGGAAGATTGATTCTCCAGTAGTCGAGGCTGCTATGGAGGATTTTGTTAAAAAGCTGTTGCAAGAATTTGTGGTTGATCTGTGGTATTCTGATATAACGCCTGACAAGGAAGCACCACAGCTGATACATGCAATTCTTATGGATGTTTTTGCCGAAATTTCCACAAGAGTCAAAGACATAAACCTAGTTGACATGCTAACGAGGTTTGTATTTCTAGGACACTTCCTTAGCATGCAATTTGAAACTCACATAAGCTGTGCTTAGAGTTTCTTCCATTGTTTCAGGGATGTAGTTGATCTAGTAGGGGATCATCTAGAGCTTTTCAGGAAAAACCAAGCTGCTATTGGCAGGGAGGTTATGGTGACACTATCTTCTGATGAAAGAGATGAAAGGTTGAAACACCATCTCATGACTTCTAAGGAGCTTCATCCAGCTTTGATATCACCCGAGAGTGAGTACAAGGTGTGAGTGGAGAGTTCTGATGATTAGTATCTTCATTACTGTTTTGTGAATGCTATCTGATGGTTCTTATCTTGTAGTTTCTTAAGCGGATTATGGGGGGAGTTTTGGCCGCAGTGCTCAGACCACGAGAAGCTCAATGCCCTTTAGTTCGATGCATTGCACGGGAGCTTATAACATGCTTGATAATGGAACCTGTAATGAGATTTGCAAGCCCTGGGTTAGTTTTTAAGAATCAAACTTTTCTTGCACAACATTTGGCGTTTGTAGTTGTTAGGAGTATCGACCTGGAGGCTTTGCCATGCCGAATTTACAGAATGGATCTTTTTTGGTGGTTGGAAACATTTTTATCTGAACACTTTCATTTATTGACACTGCATTTGAATCCTTGTCTTTTTGATATGGTCCTTTCTTCTTATCTATTTGAACTTCTTGTAGTGTCAATATGCTATGATTGCGGCATGATATGATATTATTCCCCTTAGGTATTCGTTATTTGGATATGTGCACACTTTCAACGTTTACTCTTTCTTTACAATACCTCTATACGATATGTTTTGCCACTTCGTGTATGTTTATATATACGCGATCTCTTTGGGAAGTTTAAACACCCATAATTTCTTTTGACAGGCATATCAATGAGTTGCTTGAGATTATTTTCTTAGCCAACAATAACAAGGGAGAGACAGAGGCAGGTGATCAGTCATCTAATGTCGTGGGTCCTACCCAGAATCAGACCCAGAATCAATCTGCTGCTACAAACATTGTAAAACCTCCAGAGTCTGCTTCCACAAAAAGTGGCTCCTCTTCTGGTCAAATGAGTGGTCAGACTTTGTCTACACCTAACAACCAAAAGGAAGCACTTCTAAACCCATCTGGTACAATCGTTAGTGGCCCAGTTCAAGATGAACCATTGCATGCACGGACCTCTGATTGGGCTCGGGTTCTTGAGGCAGCTACCCAGAGAAGGACAGAAGTTCTCCAGCCAGAAAATCTTGAAAATATGTGGACCAAAGGAAGAAACTATAAGAAGAAAGCTCAGAAGAATGTTGCTCCAGGACATCAACCTCCTAGCATAAATGGTTCAGGAATAAGCAGTGTTATCAACAGAAAAGATCTAGGGAAGGAAATATCACCCCATAAACCCGAGATTTCCACCAGCATAGGTAAGACTGCAGCACAGATCCCGCCAGGGCCTTATGCGGATGATCAACAAAAAGACCCAAATCTTGATGCTAATGGTTTGTCTGATCAAGTCAAGACACCAGCTCTTTGTGATTTAGATAATGAAAATTCTAATGGAAGTAGCATATGTGATCTGAACATTCAAACCCAGCCTGAAAATAAATCTCCAATCCAAGTCGGTGGATCCATCATCTCGGAGTTCTATAGTGCGAATGCTGGGAGAGATAGTGATGCACTTAATGTTAATAGTGCTTCTGATAAGGGATCACGCAGTGAAGGATATGTTCCCAAGCTTAAGTGTCGGGTAAGACTATTCTCTTTTATCTCTTGTTCCCTGTGATGTAAGATCTTTGAATCCAATTCCAAAACTTCTTTGATTTTCTTGATCTGTTTTGATTTTTCCAGAGAAGAGAATTGCCTGAAAGTTGTTTTTTGGAAGCACATGATGTAAATAGTTTCCTGAATGGCATTATGAATGTCAATTGGCAAACCGTAGTAGACAAGCACGTCTATGACTATTACATAAGTCTTATGCATCAATCCCTCCGGTCTCAATATTTTGTTTGTGATAGGATTTCATGTTTGCGACCCATCGAAGGTTTCTAATTCTGTTTTTAAGCTGCACTATAACATATACCCATGGGCCCATATGTTGCTGACCTTGGATCATATTTCTCACATGATCTTCCACGTTATACAAGCTTTTTAATGCTATGTGCACTGTACAGGTTCTAGGAGCATACTTTGAGAATATTGATTCAAAATCCTTTGCAGTCTATTCGATTGCGGTGACGGATGCTGGTAATAAGACTTGGTTTGTAAAAAGAAGGTCTTGTTCCTGACCTCTTTAAGTAACTTCTGAATTTGCTCACTCATTCTGGCACATGCTTCAATAGTTGCTGGAGAAATTGATTACTGTTTTTATTTGCTACTCTGTCAGCAGATACAGGAATTTTGAGAGATTACACCGCCATCTTAAGGACATTCCCAATTATACGTTACATTTGCCACCTAAAAGGATACTCTCGTCTAGCACAGAGGATGCATTTGTTCATCAACGTTGTATACAGCTTGATAAATATCTTCAAGTATGGTCCTACATTTGTCCAACTTGTATTATGAGTTTCCAAAAGCTTAATCTTATAATTTATAATTGAAAAAAGGTTCTTCCTTTCAGGACCTTTTGTCTATAGCTAATATTGCTGAGCAACATGAAGTGTGGGACTTCTTGAGCATGAATTCAAAGGTGTGCATCTCTTTGTGTGTGTTTGTGCATGCATTTACTTCTACTATTGAAATTATTATCTTAAAAGATATTACCACTACAGAGTTACTCTTTTGGAAGGTCGTCATCAATGGTGAGAACCTTAGCAGGTATGTTGGCCTGTATCAGATGCCATACAATTGGATTCTGTCTATGAGTTTGTATGTTTGTTGGATCTCAAGTGTGAGTACTTACTCGGCTTCATCTGTTGCTTTTCTAAGATATTAAAGAACTTTCATCTATCAACAATAAAACCAAAAGATCAAAAGTAGAGGAGAAACAATTAATACATACATAGTGAGCCACAGGCTGAGATAAAGAAACCCAGCAAATGTAATTAAATACTAGGTATCTGACAAAGTGCGACTACTATTCCTAAAGTGCTTATCAAATAGCAATACTCTATTGTTTTCTTTTGGGTTAACAGTCAATGTGGACGATGCTGTGGATGATATTGTACGTCAGTTTAAAGGAGTTTCAGATGGTCTAATGCGGAAAGTTGTTGGCCCTTTGTCCCCTTCTGGAGCTTCTGCTTCAGCTGCAAACAGAACCGTGCCATGGAAGGCTGAAGAACCATCTGATTCAGTGTTAAAGCAAACTACCTTGGACACGACTAACAATCTTTCTGATAATGAGGAAGGTGACAAAGATCGGACACCTCAGCATGAGGAAATGGAGTCTGCTGCACAAGCTAATGGGCAGCATTTGGACAATGAGTTGAACTCAAAAGTATTCCCACCCAGGGTCCTCAAAAGTGATGAACTGAATAGAAGCTTGGAATTAGACAAGAAAAATATTTCAGAGGTGCGATCTGAAATACTCAGCCTGGCTGCAAATTTTCCTTCAAATTCTGGTCTGAAGGAAGATCCACTTGGTGTGCCAGCAGAGGTACGTCACATACTTCCTTCAAGTTCTGATTTACCTGTTTATGCCCCTCAATTGTGTTGACATAGCTCATCTGGAACTTGTCTGTTTGAAAAATTAAACTTTCGCATCATAAAGACCAAGGTACTAGGGTAGTAGAGTAGAGTGTAGGAACGTAGGCCTGATGTGGATAGGAATAGCGGTGTAAACAAGCTGAGCCTTGTCGAGTCAAGTGGTAGGTTATTCGACCTCGGCTTGAAAAACATTTACCAGGCTCGAGCTCAAATAACCTTTTCAATGTAGGCTTCAGCTCGAGCTCGAATATTTTTTGAGTTATCGAGCTTGATGCTCGTTTAGGGGCTCGTGCTTGTAATTGATTCACTCGTTTATTGGCCTGAGGTTGATAATTTTTAAATTGTTATTCTACTATTTATGAACATATGAGCATGTTTTGGTTTGGTAAGCATTTATGAACAATCCTGGCTTATTGGTGGTTTTGTAATATAAAGGGATATAATTTAACTTCATAATATAATTAACTTTAGCTTTGCTATGTTGATCCTTCAAAGCCCTTGTGTGGTTTTTGTCTGAAGCTGTTAGTTGTCTCTTTTTGTTTCTTTTTGCAGTGGACCCCAACAAATGTAAGTGTTCCTTTGCTAAATTTGGTAGACAAGATATTTCAACTCAACAGAAGAGGCTGGTTAAGGTTAGCTATTTTCTGCTCATTCTAGATGCATCTTTTCTCATCATCCTGCTTTGTTCACCAATATCTGTGATGATAGGCAATCTGAAATCTAATGGTTAAATTCTTTTTTCCTTTTGGGGGAAAAGAAGTTTCTACAAATTTTAAGTACAAACTCTTGCAAGATATACACTCTTGATGATGAATTGATGATTAACACAAACATAATCATCAATCTAAAATGCAATCAAACCAACTCCTACTACGGGATCTGACTATCTCTATACCCGGAAGTGAGAGTTTAGGATCTCATTAAATTCAAAAAAGTTAATTTATCGTACAAGGAACAACACAGGAAGTATCTTGGGCATTCATTTGGGAATTCATGACACATTTAGTTGTAGTAGCATTCTCTCAATTTTAAGCTCCAAATCTCGGACAATTGTATTTATTTTTATGCAGACGGCAAGCGTTTTGGATATCAAAGCAAATTTTGCAGCTGATTATGGAAGATGCCATTGATGACTGGCTCATAAGGCAAATTCATTGGCTCAGAAGAGATGACATTGTTGCTCAAGGGATTCGGTGGATCCAAGAGGTAAGTTACTATTATTTACTTTATGCTGGTCTTAAGTTTTGATGGATAATGTCCAATACCGTTGATATATTTGATAGGCTATGGTCTATGTGAAAAACTAAAATATCAAATATCTTACTGAAATTTGAAAGTACATGGCATTGTAAATTTGTTTGTATTGGAAGCTGGCATCGGTTCTTTCCCCAAACAATCTTTGGGTGGGAAGCTCAAAGAATAGATTCATGTGGAGGTCTCTTGTTTATTCTAATGATGGGATTTTGTTAGGTTCTGTGGCCTGAAGGTATATTTTTTCTGAAACTAAATAGAAGTCAAATGGATTCTTCTCAACCAAACGAAGGATCTTCTCGGACTACATCTGGCAGTAAGGGTAATAAACAAGCGTCTTTCGAGGAGCAACTTGAGGCTGCTCGTAGAGCTAGCGATATCAAGAAGATGATATTCAGTGAGTATTCATTATTGTTTTCCCTTCTAGCAGTTACTAATGTCTTTTTCCAAGATTAGTGTTTCCATTTCTGCCATTAAATCAAGTTTTTAGTTGATTTGGTATGGAGAAAGTTGAAACATAAATATTTTGTGAGAACCTGAGAACCAACTATTTTATGTATTATTCTCGATGACTAGCCATGAATATTCATGAATATCAAGTATATTCATCATGAATAATATTTGTATGATATTCATCATGAATAATACACAAATAGTTGGTTCCTCCTCCATGTTCTTAGAATATTTATGGTTCTCATTTGAACCTGCCCATACCTACTATTTTGTGATCTTTATTAGTAAACATAAATGATCTTCTTTCTCAGAGGGAGCACCAACTACATTGGTCAGCTTGATCGGACATAAGCAATACAAACGATGTGCTAAAGACGTATATTATTTTCTCCAGGTACACACAAGAACCTTGCCCTTAAATTCCAAACTACATCTTGTGATGGATCCTGCGAAATAAACACCATCACCATCATATGTTCACTTAATCGAAGTGTTGTGAAATAGTTGTTAGGCTCGATCTATTTGTAACATAAAGAGGTGGTGGCTTAATGATAAAGACTTGCAGACACTGACTTTTGATCCTAAAACTTGCAGTCTGCTGTGTGTTTGAAGCAACTTGGCTACGGTTTACTTGAACTTGCACTTATAACGGTTTTCCCGGAGCTGCAAGATGTCATATCAAACGTTCATGAGAAGAGAAAATCCGAGCCGCTGTAGATATATGGCTTTACTTAGATCACAAAGTTTTCATGTTTAGGTTGACAGAGATTGCAAATTTATTTATTGATGTATAGCAGGGAAAACAATATTTCTACTCGTCGTTGTTGGAGTAGAGATAAGGTCTATGTAAATCCTATTCTTTCCGAATCCTACTCATATGTGAGATTCCCTTGGATGGCTTTGTTTAGTTAGCATCTTTCTTTGATCTCTTTGTTAATTGTACAAAAAAATGCTTAGTAAATCTTGTGGGCATTGCCCAAACCCTATACATTCGTTGTTGTTTGGTTGAATGAATGGATTTCCATTATTCTTTAAGGGGGCGTTTGGTTCGTAGAATAAAATTCGATGGAATTGGAATTCATCAAATAAATTTGACTTTGAGGGAATGAAATGGAATTTGATGGAATTCGAGTTTGACCATGTCTTTTGATTGCGTTTGGTTTGATGGAATTGGCATGGAATTCTTAACGGATTTAGAATTTTTTTTGTTTCGTTCTCGGAATTCAACGAGAAAATTACATAGATGGCATTTCGAGAAAATTCTTTTTAGGATGGAAAGAACGAGAGAGAGAGAGGTCGAGCATACCAGATCGAGCAGTTTTGAATAGGGATGACAAAAAAAACCGAAACCGATGGTGAAAACTGAAAACCGAAACTTTCGGGTCGGGTTCGGGGACATCTTATCGGGGACGGGGCAAGGATCGGGGACATATTCGGAGATTTTAACGGGGACGGTGATCATCAGCCGGTCCCGGTGTGGCCTGATATGTGTATATATATTAATTTTAATTTATATATATATACATATACATATACATATAGAGGTGGGTACTTTTAGTTGGGAAAATTAACATATTGTAATTTTTTTAGATCTGTTTCGGGTTTCGGTTTCGATTATAAACAACGGTGAACGGGAAAAAGAGGATTTTTACCTTAATGGGTTCCCCAACGGGGATCGGGAAAACCGCAGGGACCCGATGGGGATCTCCGATAAGATCCCCAACGGGGATCAGGGCGGTCACAGGGACTGTTTTAGTTATCGGTTTCGGGGACGGGGATACCAATAACCGGCCCGAACCTGGCCCGTTGCCATTCTTAGTTTTAAACAAGATCGAGCAAAGGAGATCGAACATAGCAGAGCGGAGCAGAGCAAATCGAGATACTACGTCGATGAATTTGGATGAGGGCTAAGGAATTTATCGGATTAGAATTTGAAATCCGTGGTATATGCGGTGGAATTGTGAAATCAATGACTTAAAGAATTTGTTAGAATTGGAAGGATTCTTTCACATCTATTATGTGAACCAAACATGATATTTGGAATTTGGTCAAAGATTTAGATATTCCAATTCCTTCCAATGCCACCAAATTCCATGAACCAAACATCCCCTAAGATTCTAATTTGGTTCTCATTTACTTTTTTATTTTAAAGGAATTTAAAAAAAGGAAAAAAAATCTGAGTTATTTAACGGGTTTTAGAAAGTTCAAAAAGTCATTTAACATGTTTTAGAATGTTCAAAAACTTATTTGTTCTAAAAAATTATCCAAAAACTTAGTCATTCTGAACATTAAAATCCATTAAGTTTATTTAGGCTTTTTCCTTATAAAAAATATCTAATATTTAGTCAAAATATAATAAGATATTTCTCAAAGAAAAAGTAAACAAAGAAAAATATCCCAGTGAGCTCCAACCCTACACCCCTCGCCACTCACGCCGATTGGAATGTATATCATCACCATCCAATGGCCACGATCACAGCTTTCACCATCAAAAACATGACCCACTCGTTACTTTAATCGTAAAGAGGCAAAGTCATTAAAATAATATCTCATCCTTATCCAAACATCCTCCGCTTCTATTAAATAACAGCACTGGATCTATTTAAAATTAATCACACATCGCCGACGACGATGATGATAAGATCAGTGCCTTCTCAATCTTCGACTCTTCACCGTCCGCCATTAACAACCATCTGTCGTTCCTCCAGAAACAATGCGTATATACCTAAACTTGAACCCTTTAGCCGAAGCAAGCTTGATAGACTCGTTAAGGATCCTCCGTTGATCCAGAAATCCGAAAACGATCTCTCAGGTACGTACTATCTTAAGCTAATCAATATCTTGGATGTGACTGATTAAGCTAAAAAAAACTAGTCGAATCGAATAGATCAGCTTAATTTCCGCTACTAATTACGGTTTATCTGTTTGGTGATCAGATTATTGTTCAACATTGGAAGGAGATCCATCCTATAGCTGCTGGAGAGCCTATTTTGAGCTTAAAGATCTGGAAGTAAGAATAAGATTTGATCATCATGTAGACACAAATTTTCATTTAAAAAGTAGTAATCCTTGAATTATTAATTATGAACAGAAAGAAGCGCCAAAGGAAGTGGTGGAGAGGGTGATACTGGAATCGGGAGGGGTGAAATCGTTAATCGGATGCTTACACGGAATCTCGGAAATTCACAAGGCAAAAAAGCAATTGGAAGATGAGCAGGGATCAGACATGAATAATAATACAAATTCAGATTCAAATTCGGAGAATAGAGCAGTAGTTGGTGGTGAAAGAGCATGTGCGGTCCCTGATGGAGTACCCAAGACCCGGGAAGAGATGGAGGAAGAAGAGAAAGGGAAGATGCCGGACTCTCCTTTCACCAGATTGCTTCGCTCAAAAGGAAGGCTCCCTGCTTGGTATTCGGCTGCTCCTGATCATGAAACCAGTTAGTTAGTTAGTTACCTCTTGTGCAATTTACCTTTCTATGTACATATTGTTGCAATTTTGGTTCCATGAATACGTTAGTGCTCTTGTATATTCAACAATTGGGGATTGACCCAAATTTAATTTGGATCTCTTTTGCTGTTGAGCTTTTGTTTTTCTTTTACAATTTTTTTTTTGGAACATGAATCATTTTGATTGTTTGATATGTTAGCTTGTTTCATTTGTAAAACATTTTACTATAGACTCAATAATTGGGCATTGATATTGAGATGTTTCTATGGTGGTTAAAACGATCATGTCGTTTTTAGTCTTAAAAGGTGGACTTGGTTATGTACCCGGTCAAACAGAGAACGTATGGATTGGTCCTAGGAACCGTTTTCGGATAATAAATTGTGGTCGTGGTTAAATCCATGGAGAGGATTGTTGTATTGTGTTCGCATCCTTTTTCTCACTTATGTTTGAACGCTCACTTATGCCTGAATGGACTGATCATATCGAAAATTATGGCATTACCTGCAATCGAGCGGTTTTCATTCGATCTCTAATGGAAGCACATGATAACGTTCTTTTGCCAATATTATTACCAGTATTCGCTAGAAAAATATTCATATTAAATAAAAATCAATAAAATAAATATTCTAACGTTTACTAATAAATCGTTTTGATTGAAATGGAAAACAATCAATCCCATAATGGAAGGATCATACTATTCGAGACTCCATGCATGCTCCACTTGGCTCACTCTTCCTAAGGGAGGATTAGGGAAATTCTATTGATTTCAGTTTTCTCCAAAAGCAACTTGGACAAAAAGAAACAAAGTCCGAGATAGACGCAATGTCCACAATACCTGGATTTACCAAATCACGCTCCTATTGCCACAACAATAGATATCCCGCGAACACAGCTTACAACTTTTCGGTTATAGTTTTCTGTGCGATGGCCCAGGACGAGGTGGTACTTGGGATATTTCGGCCAATAAAAAGTAACCCATCCAATGGTATTTAACATCCAAAAAACTGCCAAATAAAATGCGTCTGTGATCCCGGCTTAGTAAGTCATTTCTTCTGTGATAAACTGTTGGCGCCAGTCCTACATTTTGTCTATGTGGACCGAGGAGAAAGGGGGCTCGGCGGGAAGAGGATTGTACCGTAGGAAGGGCGTAGTAAGCGACAAAATGCTTCGGGGAGTCGAAAATAACCTCTGGAATTTTCATTCATAAATTTTCTCGCGATAACCATGTATCTGTAGAATTTGATCCGTTTGGTTTCTCCGTAAAGGATCTCAGTTCGGGGACAATTCTTTCGAGATGCAATAGCGACGGCGATCTCTACCCGTTCTCATCGTCTCCTCTAGCAGCCAAGTTCTCCACCTCTCTTGCCGCCATCTCCCCAAATACTTGGCACACCCGTCTTGGACATCCGGGAACTCCAGTTTTTGATTTTCTTAGAAACCAGAATTTAATTTCTTGTAATAAGGGAACTAAAACCCATTCTTGTGTTTCTTGCTCAATAGGCAAACATGTTCATTTTCCTCTTTATCCATCTAATACAATTACGTTTGCTCCTTTCGATATTGTGCATGCTGATTTGTGGACATCACCAATACCGGGTCATAAATATTATTTAATCTTCCTCGATGATTTTTCCCATTATCTTTAGGTTTTTCCCCTTAAATACAAATCCCAAGTTTTTTCCTTTTTTTCTCACCTTTCGAAACTATGTCAAAACACAATTTCAAAAGGACATTAAAACCTTCCAATGTGACAATGGACGAGAATTTAACAATTCTCTATTTCATCAATATTGTGCCAACAATGGCATGGTATTACGTTTCTCTTGCCCCTACACCTCTCCTCAAAACGGCAAGGCCAAACGGATCATCCGAACCATAAATAACATAATTCATACATCCATTCTCCATGCTTCCCTCCCTCCTAAGTTTTGGGTGTATGCCTTGCATATGACATCATACACTCTAAACATCCTTCCATCCCCTATCCGTCAAAACAAAACACCAACGGAAATTCTTTTTCATCGTCTTCCCATATATACTCACTTACGCACATTTGGATGCCTTTGTTTTCCAAACCTCTACCCCACCACCCCCCATAAACTAGCTCCTAGATCCGCCCCTTGTGTTTTTCTTGGGTACCCATCCAACTATCGCGGGTACATATGTTATAACTTCACCACCGACAAACTTATTCTTTCCCGCCATGTCACCTTTGACGAGAACACCTTCCCTTTCTCCAATCTTCAAAACTTCACTCCYCACGACTAYAATTTCTTGGATGACWCAACTCCATCCCCATACATTACCCGTGCCTTMAACTCATCTCGCCCACACCCACATATTAACCAACCCCCTACCACCCCTACTACCTCACCTCCACCTGCATCCAACACTACGCCAGCCCCTCCCACCACTTCGGCAGCCCCTCCAACTACCTTGCAAGCCCCTTCTACTACATCCGCACCCAACTCTCCTCCCCCACCCACTCACTCCCACTCCTCCACCCACCCCATGCAAACACGCTCCCGTCATGGCATTTTCAAGCCAAAAACACACTTTAATATCTCGACGCAGGAAATATCCCCTTTACCTACAAATCCCAAGGTGGCAATGCATGACCCGAATTGGAATGCAGCCATGACCGCATAATACAATGCTCTTATTAAACAACACATTTGGGATCTCGTTCCACGACCGGAAGGGGTGAATATAATCCGTTGTATGTGGTTGTTTCGCCATAAATATCGGGACAATGGTGATCTAGAATGGTATAAGGCCCGACTCGTGGTCAATGGAAACTCCCAACATGTTGGAATCGATTGTGACGAGACATTTAGCCCAGTTGTAAAACCGGCCACGATATGAACAGTTCTAAGCATTGCAATGGGTCGTAATTGGTCCATTCATCAACTCGATGTGAAAAACGCATTTTTGCATGGAGACCTCAAAGAAACGGTCTACATGCATCAACCACCTGGGTTTTATAATTTTTCCGCCCCCGGCTATGTATGTCGCCTTCGTAAGTCTCTGTACGGCCTTAAGCAAGCCCCTCGGGCATGGTACCAACGGTTTGCCAACTACATCTTACAGATTGGTTTTCGGTGCAGCAAAAGCGACAACTCCTTGTTTATTTACAGATTGATGACATTGTCCTAACCGCGTCCTCCGAAAAGTTGAAATCAGACATAATTTCGGCTCTCAACACCGAATTCGAGATGACCGATTTGGGTAAGTTAAGCTACTTTTTGGGTATTTCTGTCACCCGTGCCTCTCACCACATGTTCTTATCTCAKAAAMAGTATGCTGAAAATATCATTAGTCTGGCCAAAATGACGAATTGCAAGCCTATGCCCACAACGGTCGACTCACAGTCCAAATTGAGTGCACATACCGGAAACCCAGTTGATGACCCGACTCTTTATCGCAGCCTAGCAGGTGCTCTGCAATACCTCACCTTCACGCGACCCGACATCGCCTACGCTGTTCAGCAGATCTGCCTCTTCATGCATGTGCCACGCGAAACCCACTTTAGTGCCCTTAAACGTATCATCCGGAACATCAAAGGCACCCCTTGACTATGGCCTACATCTTTATCCTAGTACTGCCCATAGCCTCACGTCATATACAGACGCAGACTGGGCGGGATGCCCCGACACACGCCGATCCACATCCGGGTATTGCGTATTCTTAGGTGACAACCTCATTTCTTGGTCGGCAAAACGCCAACCCACGATTTCACGATCAAGTGCTGAAACGAAGTATCGCAGAGTGGCAAATGTTGTCGCGGAAACATGTTGGTTACGCAACTTACTTCTTGACCTCGGATGTCCTACACGAAAAGCTACCCTTGTATACTGTGACAATGTCTCTACCATGTACTTATCTGGCAATCCGGTTCAACACCAACGCACCAAACACATCGAGCTCGACATACATTTTGTACGCGAAAAAGTGGCGATGGGTCAAGTTCGTGTACTTCATGTTCCTTCTTCTTATCAGTATGCGGACATCTTCACCAAAGGTTTGCCTCGCCAATTGTTCCTTGACTTCAGATCCAGTTTGAGCGTTCATCCTGGTCACGCTCGAACTGCGGGGGAGTGTTAACCAATATGTTTCAATAAGAGATACCTTAATTTTAGTATAAGATTTCTCTCTCCTTTAGTTTCCTGTAAATATGGAATATCTCAATAAGAGATATCTCCTAAATATTTTCCTTAGATAAGGATATTTGTATCTATATATTCTTAGGAGAATGGAATGAGAAGGCAAGCAATTTCTCCAATTCTGACTTTATAGATGTGATTATTTACTCTAAAAGGATTTCTAAATAATTTGTGTGTCCCGTATAAAATCATGTATTATATGCATACACCCAACTGTTGTTTAGAGAAAAACCAATGGAAAGCATCAAGACATCTTGCACATAAGCTAGCCAAAAACTAACTTCATATATCCATTTTCATCTGCCATTCGTGGCAAACAATGGCTTTCTTTCTCTACCCATAGTAGTTCCTCATAGATGGCCTCCAGCTACCTGTAATTTAACAGATACAACCTTCCAAATCATCATTCTTGGCTACAAAAACACCACTTCACAAGAACGACTGATTCTGAACAAAAGCGCAAAGTATGAAGATTCTAATGACGGGTTTCTTGCAAACTGTATATGACGTTATTCTGATAAGAATTCTTTGTAAACTATGTACCTTTAAAACGCTAGTGTATAAAGCCACCCATTTCTGTTCTAGTTGAAGCTCTCCTCTTCAGGTCCAAGTTGGTGTTCTACGTCAACAAGGATGTTTCCCGTTGGCTGCTGCACGTAAGTTAGCAAGCTCTTCCTTGACTCGGGTAACTATTCCTTCTGATCTTCTCAGCTTATGACTGATTTCATCGATCTGAGCCTTTAATGAATTGTTCTCTTCCTGTTATACAACCACCAGCCTTAGCAAACAGTTTCCACCATTTTTCTACAAAAAAAAAAACTAGAAATTCAGACCTTTATTTTCGCATGATGATGGATACGTTGTTGGATGTTTTGCAGTCCTGACAACTTTTTTATTTCAGCTTCGAGATCAATCACCTTCTTCTGAAAGCATCAAATAATTGGTAAAATGAACACAAAACTGAATATCAAGTGATCACTAGAACTTTGATATACACCTTGAACTTTTCATTTTCTGTTGCAAGTAACTGATCTTGCAGACAAATTTGTTCCATTTCCACATGTTTTCTTTCAATTTCCTCCCGCCACCTATCAAAAGGGCAGAAAAGCTTATATTTTTTCTGTAACTCATAAAATAAATGATAAGTGAATAGAAATACCGGGTGCCCAAATCAGCTCACCGTTGCCTCTCAACTACAAACTCATTCAGCTCCTGCTTCAGTTTGATAACCTCTTGCTCCTTAACTTGTGAGTCAGCATCATGAATTCGGATCTTTCCGGTTACTTCCTCAATTTGGTTATCATCCACTATTGACTGGTATGCACGACAAACAAAAATGATAGAAATATAGGTCAACCATGTGGATGTGGGAGACAGAGAACGCTTTTTTCTTGAACAAAAACCATTTGTTCAGTAAATTTTGACACATTTGTCAAATTGGTAAACCAGCATTGTTGCTTGTCAAACTAGTGAATGACTTGTAAAACAAACAAGATTGATCATTTGTAGTCATAGCTACAGCTTACTGAATAAACAAGTGTGCGAGTTTGTTTGTCGTTTCATAAAAATTAAATAAAAAAGGTAAGAAAAGAAAGAAGCTTACCGAATAAGTATTCATGTCTGACTTTATGCCTAACAGATCACGCAGTACATCATGAGTCATGCTCCCCGACATGGCTAGTTTTGCATTTATCGTGAATATCTGAAAGACAATGGCGTCATATAAGAGATTCTAATGGCTAAACAAGTAGAAATCTAAGAGCAAAGATTTAGAAAACGAGATTGGAGCTACTCAGAATCTGAAAATACCTCCTTTTGCCGGCTTGCAGCTAAGGCTTCAAGTTCTTCAATACGAACTCTTGCAGCAATGAGCTCCTCATCCCTCTCGGACTTCAACTGTTGTCCCAAGCCTAATCCAATGCACTTGAAAGGAGAACCAGAACCCCTTGACCTTGATCCATTTCTTTCTAGTCTTTTTGATGGTGAATTTGAAAGGTCCCTAGAAGTCCCGTCGGGCTTCACTTGATCAGCCATTGCCTCCAATGCCTTAAACTATTATCAAGATTAACGGCTAATATAAAGTATATGATTAAGAATGCACAACAATGAGGGTTATTCAGCTAAATGACCTCCCGACAAAGTGTTTTTTAAATCCATGGCCTTTAGACAGGTTTATAGGCATTCTTGTGTCTGGAAGAGGCATTCTTCTATTTAGCAGTGGCATTCTCAAACTTGTCAGAAGGTCATCTAACCAAGGGACTCACAATATGATCATGTAGTTGATGGCTTTGCTTACTGTCTGTTTGTATTCCCTAGCTTGAGCTTCGGCATGCAGATTCAACTCAGTGATGTGATCTTTATGTTGAATAATCTGTTGAAATGAAACCCCAAAGTCATGAGCAAAATTTGAATACAAGTTCTAAAGCATTTAAAAAACAACTATAAAAAGTAGCACCTCTGCATCCTTGGAGGCGATCTCTTTCTCAAGAATCTTGATACGTTGAAGAACATCTTGAAGGTTTTTCTCTTTCTCATCATCTAGATGCCTATAAATAAAGAACTCATGTATCAGCAAAAACATTCATCATTCCTGATGGGAATTTTTGAACGAGTTTTATGGCCAAACCTCCTCATATCAGAATCGCTATTTTTGACCGTGTGAATCTGTTGTTTTAAAGCATGAAGCTCTATTTCTAGCTCCTCCCTCTGCAACCGTTGTCTTTCGGCCTCTCCTTTGACCATGTTAACCTTATAGATTGGACAAAGACATATTTGTCAAGTTACATTGTAAAAATGCAGACTTTTTATGCTAAGCTTGACAAGAGAGTCACCTGGTTCTCCAGTACATTCACGGTACATTCTAGCTCTTCAACGGACTTCTCATAAAGTTTTGACTCCTCTTCCTTCTCTTCCGCATACCGTATACTGATTTCACCCGTCTAGTGTTTTTGCAATTTGCACAAAATGTTAGACATATAGTCATGAAGCTTTTGTTAAGTAAAGTTTAAAAATGTACCTGTTTTGCTTTCATAGCAATTGCCTCGTGTTTTTCAGCAAGGGCTTGTGCCATCTCTACCTCCTTCCTTGCTCTAAGAAGCTCGATGTGGAGGTCAGATCTTTCACAAGTAACAGTTTTCAAATCTCCCTTTAATGATTCAATCAAAGTGTTGTTTTTGTCGAGAGCAGTTTCCAATTCAAGAATTTCTATTTCCATGCTCTCCTTGGCCTTCATCATCTCTGACAATTGCTCCTTGGACGACTCTTTCGCTTTTAAGGCATCTTCAACATTTTCCATCAGCAAATGAATTTCAGAAGATAGTGATTTTATAGACTCGCGGTCTCTAGAAAAATCTGCCTCAAGAGTCGATATTAAAGCTACCTTCTCCTTCAACTGAGCTTCCAGAACCTGGCCTTTCACAACATTTTCACAAAGCTCATATTCTAAAGCTTCAATACAAGCTTCAAATTCTTCAATCTTATCTTTCTGGTCATTTATTATGACCACAAGTGTCTCATTCTCCTCCTTATGAGCTTCTTCCTCCATCTTGACTTGCAATTGCATATCCACATACAAATTAATCATGTCTTCCTTAATTTTCTCCTTTTCAAGATCATTCGTTTCTGAAGCCATTTGTTCTAGAGCAGAGCTACGGTTACAAAAAATCTTAAGAGCTTCTTCCAGCATCTCGACTTCTTTCTGCAAAAGACCAACCTCGGCGTCTTTTTCCAGTAAGATACAATCTTTGAATTGCATATCCAGATACGAAATAATTATGTCTTCCTTAAACTTCTCAAGGACCACAGACATACTAATTTTCTCCTTCTCAAGATCCTTATTTTCTGAAGCCATTTTATCTAGAACAGAGCTACGGTCACAATAAATCTTAAGAGCTTCTTCTTCCTGAATCTGGACTTCTTTCTGCAAAAGACCAACCTCGGCATCTTTTTCCAATAAGATCCAATCTTTCAATTGCATATCCACATGCAAAATAATCATGTCTTCCTTCAACTTCTCAAAGACCATAGACATACTAATTTTCTCCTCCTTGAGATCGATAGTTTCTGAAGCCATTTGTTCTAGAGCAGAGCTGTGATTATAAGAAATCTTAAGAGCTTCTTCCTGCATCTTGACTTCTTTCTGCATAAGACCAATCTCAGCATCTTTTTCCAGTAAGATCCAATCTTTCAAATGCATATCCACATACGAAATGATCATGTCTTCCTTAAACTTCTCAAGGACCGTAGACATACTAATCATTTTCCCCTCAAGGTTGTTATTTTCTGAAGCCATTTTATCTAGAGCAGAGCTATGATTACAAGAAATTTTCAGAGCTTCTTCCTGCATCCTGACTTCTTTCTGCAAAAGACACACCTCAGCATCTTTTTCCAGTAAGATCCAATCTTTTAATTGCAAATCCACATACGAAATGATCATATCTTCCTTAACCTTCTCAAGGACCATAGACATGCTACTCTTCTCCTTCTCAAGAACGTTAGCTTCTGAAGCCATTTGTTCTAGAGCAGAGCTACGGTTATAAGAAATCTTAAGAGCTTCTTCCTGCATCTTGATTTCTTTCTGCAAAAGACACGACTCAGCATCTTTTTCCAGTAAGATCCAATCTTTCAATTGCATATCCACATACGAAATGATCATGTCTTCCTTAAACTTCTCAAGGACAACAGACATACTAATTTTCTCCTTCTCAAGATCGTTATTTTCTAAAGCCATTTGTTCTAGCCTCGACGACATGATAAATAACTCGATCTCTTTTGCACCTAAATCCATCATTAGGTTATCTTTTAACTTTTCATCTTTGTCATTAATCACTTGTTGTTTTTGGTGGCTAACGTCCATTTCCTTCATTAGCATAGAAATCTCATGCCCCATATGACTAGACTGTTCTAACATTGCTTCCTCCAGAAGCTGTAGGTCTAGCATCTTCTTCTCAAAACTGGCTACTTTGATTGAGATCTCCCCAGCTTCGTTTTCTTTCCTTGAAATACGATCAAAACTATTCTTGATATCTGCCAGTAACTTCCCTCGAAGCTCGCCTACTTCTCTCTTCATTGCTTCGTTTGCAGTCACCAGCTCGTAGATCATGAAATCTGCTTCGTTGATGTCGTGTTGGATTTCTACAAATTTTTCAAGATAGCAAGAAGATTCCACTGCTTTCTCTGCTGCGTTTAGCTTGGCATCTATAAGTTCAAGCTCATATATCTGCGTAATTAAATGATACAGCTAGTTAGAAAAGAAATCCTACCTTAAAGAAGATTCAATGAGTAGTTATACTTGTGAGATTGTGTCCATTGATTATCTTCAACCTTTTCAGTTATGGACAAATCTTAATTAAGAAAAGAAAAAGTTCAGAGGAGATTCAAGTTCAACCTTTCTTTTCTGGAAGTAGGATTTATTAGATTGTTGTAGAAGTTCTCCAACAGTCCGTAGTCTGCAGTCTAAAGAAACCATTGCAGTGCCAACTTGCTCTTGGAAATTATCTACGACAGCTTGTAAATCAAGAACCTGTGGCAGAATAATTTCGATACTTCTTGGATTCTGCTTCTTAGGAAACTGGACCTCTTTCTCAGAATGGTAATCAGCCACCTCAGTCTTCACTCCTTCAAGACTTTCAAGGGTGGACTCTAGTTCTTTCTTCAAGAGAACATCGTCACTGTGACTCTCACCCATTGAAGTCCTGCAGCCTACCAAAGTTTTCTGACGACATGAGGGAATTACTAGTTTGACATCTTCATCTATATTCAAGTCTTTGTTGACTCCTTGGCTACTTCCAATACCTGTCTGAAAGAATACAAGTAAATGAATTAGAATGACAAATAGATGTAATCCTTCTGTCAAAAATGACATTTGCTTAGTTTACCCCTGCTGTTTCTAGTTCCTCTTTGAGGGACCCAAGCTGTTTTTCAGCATCACTGATTGCAGCATCACTGATTGCAACTGCCTGGCTATGGATGAGTGACTCATTGGCCGTAAGACTTCCTTTTAACTTATCAAGCTCAGCCTCCTTCTGATTCAAGGCTTCAAGACAACCATCCTTTATCTCCGAAAATCTGTTCACAATTACGAATGCAGCAGTTGCACAAACTGACATTGCTCTGTTTTGCTCTTCCGTCTGATTAACTGTGTCATCCAACTGAGTTATAATAGAACTTTTCTCACTTAACTGTGATAATAACTGATGGATTTCTTGATCTTTTTTGATGCAGTCTTGCTGGTGTGCTTCTGACATAACCAAGGTTGCCCCTCTCAACGACCTCAACATGCACTCCATTTCATTACCTCTGCTTTTTGCATCCTCTAAATAGGAGTTAAGTTCCTCTATCCGTAACTCCTTTTCGGAGATGTTTCTTGCAATAACTTGTAATTGGTCAGACACCCATGTTCGTTTTCCAGGACCAAGCTGGTTCGAGGCATCATCAAGCACCTTGTGCCCAGCAGTAAGAACCTCTTCAATCTCTTCAGATAAACTGTTTAATCGTCTGTCTTTCTCTTCACACTTTTCTCTTAATGCTTTGTTGCATTCAGTCATAACACCTAGCTTCTCTTGCAAAAGGGTCGACTCTCGTTGGGTCTCTCTCTCTTTCAAGCTACTTTCATGCATTTGCTGCTGAAAACTGACAAGTTCTTCCTGCAAACAGACTATGACTTCCGTTGTTTCAGATTCAACTTGCCTCCGTACTTCATCCATTTCTTCTTCATTAGATGCATGACATGCTCGATCAGCTTGGTACCACATATTCAGTCTCTTGGCTTTGCTAAGAGAAGCCTGCACCTTGTTCAACTTTCCTTGCAAAGGTGAATCTTCATTTTCCAAATCGTTTGAAGATGGTGGCAGGTCTCTTGAGCCTTGACTCAAAATCTGATCATTCAAATAAATTATTTTAAGCTCTTTTTCACGCAATATTTCAGCATATTGCTTATTACTGTTCTTGAGATCTTCGAGCTCATTGATTGACACAAGCTGTTGAATCTCAAGAGCTTCAATGACAGATTTTGCTTCCTGAAGCTCTTCTCTCAAGTATTCACACTGTTTTGTTATCAACAAAAACTTTTCTTCTGTCAACTTCAGATCCCTGCTCAAGGATAAAGCCTTCTCCACTGTTTCCCCATGGGTCAATCTCTCTTCCTTGAGAATAATCTTCAGAATGTCTAGCTCCAGTTGTAAATCCAATACTTCTTTAGTGTCTGCAAGACTATCATCCATCTTTTGAACCGTATGAGATGCCTCGTCACCAATGGAAGAAGATTCCAGTATGGGTTCCTGAAAAACCATTAAAATATTTCTTGTTGAAGAATTTTCAGAGACAAAAGTATCCTAACCGCCTTACTGCTGGACTTGGAGAAAACCTATTGTACAGGTGTACCAACACTTTGCATACAAACACAACATAAATAACAACTCAACAGTACCTTTATGACCTCAATGCCACCATCCTGGTCATGCACTACAGAATTCTGCATTTCTAGTAAAGCATTTAGTTCGACAATTTCCCTGTAGAAAAAGAACCACATTATATGATCAGGACAAGAAGGCAAACATTGATGTAAGTTTTCAGGAGAAACAGATTATATTTTTACCTGCAGAGTTTTGAATTTTTCTCTAAGCAAGAGTTCAGGTTACCCCTGCACTTATCTAACTCTTCCTGGCTCTTTTTCAACTGAAATTAAAGAAAAATGTCAAACCCAAGTTTATATCCATGACAGAGGATTCACATTTTATTGAGAAAAGACTAGACAAACCTCCAATTCAAGAGAATCACTTTCTTTTTGGTCTTCTGCAGCTTCCTGTTGACGTGCAAAGAAATCATGAGGGTTTAAAGATAATAGTAGTAAGTGTGAGAAGTGAAGTCATAACAATTTGAAAAGATTACCTTTTCCATACTTGAATTCATATGATTATCTTCCTTCGAGTTCTCATCAAGAAAGAGAACCAACTGCCATAAGAAGATTTTCACTTAGAAATAAATAAGAAAAAACTAAAACATTTTAGATAGTTCCATTTGAAGGTCAAAAGTTACCTGATCCCTCAATTCAGATACCTCGGTCATCAACATTTCTCTCTCCCCTTCTTCATAGAAATCTTGAAATCTAAATATCCAAAAAAATGAAAGTTGATGATAACATGAACTGTTTCGCATGAGATGTTAAAGCATTGTTAAATTACATATTAGTTGATCTCTACCTTCTAAGTTGTTCAAGAAGCCTAATATTTTCCACAGCAAAACGCGTCACTTCTGGGTTCCTATCAACTTTCGCACGAAGAATGCGGATTTCTTCGCTGAGCGTGTTGTTCTCTTCTAGCAAGTAAGAATCAGCAGGTATTGATCCAGCAAGAAGAGACTCCATTCGCTGAATTTTGTCTTCTCGAAACTTCAGCATCATCTTTGTGCACCTGTTTTCCTCCTCCCTTTGACGAACCTAGTAACAAATTTCATTTTTAAGAACCGACGTACATTCACAAAGCCCAATAAAACTACATGAAAGATAAAAGCGTACCAAACAGTTTAACTGTTCTATTTCTGCTTCGAGCTGTTTAATAGAACTTTCTGTTGATTGCTCTCTCCTTAGGGCTCCATTCAATGAAGTCTCTAACGATTTCAACTGAGGTACAAAACAAAGTAAATGAAACATTACTATCAGAAGACCAAAATCCTAACAGTTAACAACCACTTGGCTTTTCATGTATACCTGTTTAGAAGAAACCCTTAGAACTTTGCCTTCATCTCCAAGCATATTATCAAATTTTAACATATTCATTTCAAGGGAACTTGCATTGCTACAATTCTCATGTTCTTGTCTTGCCTCTTCAGCATCTTTTGAACTAAACGTTAGAGACTTGGATATATTGTAGCGTTTAAGGATAGCAAGTTCCTCCTTAAAAGGGAAAAAAAGTACGTTAGTTGCTTTATACTTATAAATTTGTATTCACACAGAAGGAATGATAGATCCAACTATCTTGAATTTGGAGGTCAAAAAAGGAAAACAAAGGATTTACCTTTAGAAGTCGTATTTGGTGTTGAAGTGCCGTGACATCTCCCGAAGCATCTTCATTTATTACAGCCTTGGTAATGATAATAAGACGGAGAATTTTTAAGTTTTGAAGAACATATGGGTGAAAAGTAAAACTCAACTAAAATTTAAACACTAATAGGAACTTTCTTACATTGTTCTGAATAAGTTTTGCACGCTGTGCGAACTTTAAAGTGTTCAAGGTCTCAGTAGCAGAACTGGAAAAGAAAAAGAAAAGATGATATATCCAAAAAGAAAACAGAAAAATAGAAGTTAAATCGCATCCACACGTCAGTTGCAATAATAACAATTACAAAAGGAAAGAATTATAAACATACCTTATTGAAGGGCTAACGTTAGCAATTATCATTGTTTTCGAGTTTCCACCCAATGAGTCCTGCATTACATTTTTAGTAAGAAAATAGAGAAAATATTGTTGTGCTGAACAAGAACTGGAGACATTCTAAGCACCTGAAGAAGAAATGTCAGTCTAGAATCTCGATAGGGAACATGTCGTGTCCTTGCATTAGCACCGTCTACTAGAACCATTATTACATGACTGCAGAGAGAGAAAAGGTAGAATAATGACTTGTTAATACGAGCAAAATTTATCTCAAATGCAACTTGACTTGGTAAAACTGTTCATACCCAAGTGTGGATAATGACTTGTTAATACTTGCAGCTTCTTTTAAGCGTTCACCTTCGGCACCAGAACTTTTTTGCCTGTTAGGAGAAAAAAGGTAGAATTTGAGTCTGATTGCCACCAAACAACTAAAAAAAAGAAACACTCAAATAATATGGGTTGAATGCAGCACCTTTCTGAACCAGCTAAATCAACAAGGTTTAGCCTTGCAAATCGTAGATTGGATGTTGAATCTTTCTCCCACCTACTTTCAATTACACATGTAAAAACACTATGTGAACGGCTGCTTTCTCTGTTCATATTCGTAGCAGCAACTCTCCTATTTGCGGAACCCTATGGGAGAATGCACAGCATTAGTAAGAGAAATGTTAAAGGTGACAAATAAATCAATTACATAAAAAGATTATAGCGTACCTGACTTAGAAGTTTAAGAATATCACCCACAGTATTAACTTCAAATTCCGTAAGGTTTTCAACATATACACCCTTCTTAACATCTTCCCGCAGCTAAAAGTCGGGAGGTTATCACTCATCAACTCTCTAGTAACAGCAGAAGATTACAGTATGATGGCATTTATAAGGTCAAAAAAGGTCTAAACATACTTGCAAATTTGTGGATGAAGGATCTAGGAGATCAGTAATTTGTTCATTGTAGATCTCTAAAAAAGAACACTTGCAGCAGTACGTTAGTCTTTCATCCCTTCGACTTTCCTCTTCCTGCACATGGATATGAAGATGCATTTTTAAGGTGGAACTAGAAATAAAGGGGTAGACTAGAAAATAAGAATTGGTGTTAAGTCATAACTACCGCAATGATTCTAGCAAATAAGAACTCAAAGATCCGAGGTGTCATTCCGCGATATGGACTGGGTTTTACTTCAAGATCATTTATCTCACCAAGCATGGTGTGAGTCTTCCCACTTCCAGTCTGCAGTAAGTACAAAGTCGTATATAAATATATAATAAGAAGTAAGAAACTATACCATATCTGGTGTTCTACCTGTTCACCTTAGCATATATCATTTGGTGTGGATTTCCTAACTTGGTTGTACACAGGTGAACAGGATATGTAAGAACCATGGTTAAAGTTCCTTTTTTAAGTTATTTTGTGTTAATACTTTGTAAACGGATGAACTAGTAATAAAGATTAATTCATTGACATATTTATTTAATCAACTTATATTACCTGCCCATATGCAAACATACAACTATTGTAGCCAGACAAGCAATTCTCCACCATTGGCAGCCCAACCATCTTGAAAAGGGTTTCCTGCAAATTTTCATATTCAACAACATATCGGAATAGATACACCCCAGGTACAAAAATCTACCTGTTTTCTTTCACTGGGTACCTGGTTAATTGTTTCACATGCTACATGGTCAAATGTGAACCGAGTTTCTGGATGCCCAACCCATGTTAAACATTGTGCACTTTCCTGTTTCAAACACCGGTTGTAACCTTGTGTACCAATCTCCATGCCATTGAGTGGCCGGATACGAATCAAAACCTAACAAACCATACCCATAAGCAAAACGTTAACAGACAGAATAATATCATACATATATGTATGGTATTCTTAAAAAAGAGCTTACTTGAACATTGTGATCCATCCAAAATGATGGATCTTCCTTAAGATCAAAATGGGGTACCTCGATAGCATTTACATTCGTATTAGTGTTACATGTTACCGGAATTCCTTTAGACAATGCTGTAAAGTTGCATGTACGGACACCTCCACTGATAGGAGGCCTAGAATTACCTCCATAAACCAACCCTGGGTTTGGAGGCTTACCAACACTCTTTGTAGGTGTACTCTGTGTAGAATTAGGCTCAGCAAAAGCCGAAGAAGTTCTCCCCAGTGTCCTACATGACCTAGGAGTATTCACATTCCCAATTCTTCCCTCATCCCTTGAATCTTGGCCCCACCCATTTCGGTTTCTAGCCAAAACCCCTTGCTTTTCTGGAGTTCTCATAGGCATCCCAGAGTCTGGATACCTAACCTTCGCCTTAGTGGGTGTTCTATATATTTTAGAGCTCTTGAAACCCGATTCTTGATCAGGTTTGCTAGGGTTTTGGAGAGGTTCTTGAATTGTGTTCAATGGAGGCCTAGAATGAGAGTCAGTGCCCATCCGAGCAACCGATGACTCACGAAGGTTTACATTTACAGGCACATTTTCTGGTTCTTCCAAATTGAGATTTTTACCCGAATTTCGACGCAAGAATTTGAAATCTCGCATCATCCTGAATAACGAATATAAAATCAAGAATCTGGAACGAGAATGAGATCCAGACAAGAGAGTAAAAGAATCAAGATGAAGAAAAAGGGTAACTAAAAGAAGTGAGAAACATCATTCCAAATTTACAACAAACCCTAAATGAACTGTTGTTATATGTTTTGTTTTCATGGGTTTAAGCTGAAGAAGAAAGGGAATGTAATTGAATCTCTCAGACATCAAAAGACTGTTTTTGAAAGCTTTATGATTGAACTTGCCGAGATCTGGTCTTACAATTGACGGCTGAGATGTGATGCTGAAATTTGAAATGCGAGGTGCAGGTGTAAACGTCTATCTCGCTTCAATTTGGAGGAGGGTCTTGTTTGACATAATACGATAAACGAAGGTGCAAAACTAACAAGTCCAATTAAAAATTGAAAATTCCTACTAACGGCTATATTTGTTAGAAAACAGAAGCTACGATGAGCAAATTACATAAATAGTCCTTATCGTTTATCAATACTCTTGTTTGTCATCCCTATAGTTTAATAATTGCAACTAGTAACCTTATTGTTTATATTTACTTATGAATTGAGTAAACTTCACTTTTGGTCCCTAAGGTTATGTGATTCCTTTAAAAGCGGGACCTAAACTTCAGTAACTCAAAAAGTCATCCCTCAGGATTGGATTTGCTTTGAAAATGGGACCTGGTCACTAACTTTGTCTATCATGTATGTCAGAGCCAGGGGTATTTTCGTCCAACCATGTTTTTCCTTTTTTTTATTGCAATTCTTTTTTGTTTTTTTTCTTGATTTTGTAAAAATCATCAAGCTTTAGGGACTAACTATGTAAATAACTCTAGTGTGTGTATAATATATATATATATATATATATATATGATCACTCGAGATCTTTGGCCAACCTCTCTCAAACGCCATCTTGCTTCATCATCGTGGAGATACACAATCGAGATGATCACAGGGCCAGATAGCAGGGGCTTCACCAAAAAAAATGGTGTTTGGGGAGCTCCACTTGTACGTAACTAACTCTAACATGTGTATATATGTATGTGTGTGTAAAACACAGAAACCATCATACATATCACCATCGTAACTGTTGGACCCAGATCAACAGAAATCCAAGGTTAAGGTAATGATTAAATGAGAGATTGTAGAAGATGATGAAAAGAAACCGTGGTTTTCTTTATTGAATGGAATGGAACATACAAAACTATCTCAAAACCTTAATCGATTCTCATATGTATGAAATCTACTAATGAATGTGTTAATCGATCGTTATAAAATTTATGCCTATATTACCTATTTATAGATGATATTTACAAAAAAAAAAAAAAAAAATTGAATCTTATAATCTAGGAAAGATAATCTCTATCGCTAATAACAGAAAATAGGATCAGCATCATCCTCTCGTTCAGAGTTAGAATAACTCTGAAGTCAAGGTCTTCAGACTTTCTTTCCTCAGACTTCCTCTCTTCAGACTTTAACACAACCGCTTATAGAAGTCTAAAGTCGGGTCTTCCAGATCTCTGAAGTCTACTCTTCAGAGTTAGCTTAGACAATATCTTGTTCTCGAACTTTAAATTCTGGATTTCCAGACTTTTGAGGATAAGTTTAAAGATAACTCTGAATTCAAGTCCTTTTGAAATAACTCTAAATAATGTCTATTCAGACTTGCATTTGTACGCCTTGAGCTTACCCGAACTCTAAGGTCTTCGTTTCCAGAGATTTGAAGATAGTCTTTCAGAGCATAGTTCAACCAGAGGGGATCTGGTTGTATTAACAGTTAGCATCTAAAGCATAGCTCATCTAGAGGGGATCTGGTCCTAAACACTTAGTGTCCAGAAGCTCTAGTCTTTAGAGCTGGAGGCTCTGGTCGTCCAGAGAAGCTCTGGTCCTAAGGACTTAGTGTCTAGAGTCGAAGGACTTAGTGTCTAGAGCATAGTTCATCCAGAGGGGCTCTGGTCCTGAAGACTTGTGGAACAAAGGCTCTGGTCTTTAGAACCATAGGCTCTGGTTGCTCTTCCAGACTTAGTTGTTTTAATAGTGCAGGTCTCTGAAACCTTCCATCCTTAGCCTGAATTGCTTTAGTAAAACTTTCTGATTATTTAGGACAATTTTTGTCCTAACAGTAACCCACCATGATATCCGTGATTTGGTCCCTGTAAGTCGTCTGCATTATCCATGTGGTTTCGTCCTTGTAAATCGTCCCCATCACCACCAGGATACCTGTGATTTGATCCTGTAAATTGTGTTTTTAGTCGGAGGATACCGGAGACAAGAGGTGGCAGGGATGTTGATGAGTCTTCTGGGGAGTTTTTTTGGCCGGCGTTGAAGTCCCTTTGATGGGACGAAATTGCTATGATTGGGAAGGGTATTTGGCTGGTGATGCATTTGGTGATATCGTCCTTATAGTAGGCCTGTGATATCGTCATAATAGTTGGAGAAAAGAGAGGGAAAAAGAGAAAGGATAGGATAGGGAAAGATCATCGGAGTTGCAAAAAGTGTCGATGGTCCTTGTGTTAAGGTTTACAGGGACAAGACCATGAATTATTATCTTTCTCGATTCCACAGACAATTCTCAAACACATAGTCCATTAAAATAGATCAAGTGTGATAAATAAAACACATAAAAGCACACACCTATAACATATGTATGGGTCAGGCATGGCAATGGGGCGGGAATGGGGCGGGNCGGGGACCCCAATCCCCATTCCCGTTCCCGATCCTCCCATCTTTGTCCCTGTTCTCATCCTCGTCCCGATCCCTACCGGGGAATTTGATCACATCTCCATACTCGTCCCCAACAGGGAAGTGAGGATTTTTTATTTTTTTTTTCCATTTGTGTAAGTTTTATTAAATCAAATGTGTGAGACGCTACACATGTTTAAATCTCACATTTTCCCAATAAACCTAAAATCAAAAGAAATTTAATTCAATACAAAAAATATGCATCATCATATAATAATTAATAAATGTGGAAACCAAAAAAATTTAAATTTAATCTAAAAAAAGTTAACATCACATGTACCAAAACATATCGAGTAATATCCAAAACACGTCTGGTGATATCCAAAATATATTGAAAAAGAAATTACTATTTACCGATTTCACATATGAACTAATTAACTAATTCATACATGAACACGTGTGATTCATATATAAACTAATTAACTGATTCATATATGAACTTGTGGGTTATATGAACATGTAGTTCATACGTGTATCACATGGGTTCATATATGGACCTGTTTACCGCCTATTTGTAAAAGTAACTAAACTACCTCTCTATCTTCCGCATACCCATGTGATGAATTATCCGGTGCTTCACAGTTAAAGCCGCAAATGTAACACTCGGAATTTTACGAATTCAAGTTTAAATATGTTAACTCACCAATTGAATGGTTTTGAAGTAATGGGACTTTTGGTCTTCGGTTGGATGTCGAAAATAAGCAAGAAAGCTCAAAACATGAAAAGAAACGTGTTTTGCGACCTTTCCACCCCGGGCTAGGGTCGCACTTTATGTACCAAATGGGGTGGCTTTTGGGAAGATGCAACCCTTGTTTTGCGACCCTGGGTGGCTGGATTGCATGTCAGGGTCACATATAGACAACAGGGGTTAAAAATAGGATTTCGGGGTAAAACTTCATTTGGCCATAACTTTTTCATCTTTACTCCGTTTTGGGTGTTTTTTTTTTGTTATGGATTAATTTTTTTTAGCTTTTCAATATGAAAAAAATTATGATTAATTATTCCTTGATGATTTTGGAGTTCATAGATGTTGAAGGTATGATTACATCTTCGTCTTTTTCAATCTTAGGTTTGGTCCTTTTGCAACAACTCCCATTTCTTCTTTTTGGTTGTTTGTGTATGTTTTGGGAGTAAAGTAAGTGTTCTTGAGAAGGTTTGCATCATATATCTGGAAGTCTAATGAATGGATCTCAAGTCTTCAACTTTGAAAGCTCAAGTTTGGGGTAGAACCTAAATTTAGTCTAAATCTAACAAGGTGAATTCAAGTTGATTTGTGAAAACTATGTACATGCGAAAGTTTGTATTTTAAAGTATAAATATGTTTGACTGGATATTTATCAAATGTGTTGAGTAGTTGATGAAGTTTGCCTATTTGGTATATTTGGGTTGTAAATCTTATGAAATGCCAGCATTTGGGAATTTTAGACATTTTGGCAACTAAATTACAATAAATGTGGGTTGATTTGAGGATTTATTTTATAAATAGAGATTATTTTGGTGAAAATGCATTTTTGTGTATTTGGTTTGATATTTCACGAAAATTCATAAGATTTGTATGTAATAATGTTTAAGATATGTAACCACAAGGGTGGTGCTTGATTGGTTTGAGCTTGGCTCCAAAGATCAAAAGTACCAGGAGGTCCCATATTCAAATCCAATGAGGAATAAAAATCTTCTTGTGGCCACGGAGGTTCAAATGCAGTGACTTTGGGATATCTGTAAAGCAAGTGGTCGCCCTGGGATTAGTCACTCGCATAGCGGGTTGGATATCCAGGTTAATAAAAAAAGATATGTTAAAAACATTTGTTTTGTAATAATCAATCATTTAAACAGTATTTTGTTATTTTTATAATTATTTACGATTTGCTTTTATAAATTATTTATAAAGAATGAAATTCAATTATATTCCAAATCCTACAAACCAAACACATCAAATATTCTAGATTCTTCCAATCAAATCCTTCATGAACTTCAAATCCCTTAACACCTTACCATCAAACCAAACGATCCCTACGATTTAACAAGTCGATGAATTAAGTATCTTACATTACAAATAGCTTATTCTACTAAATGTTGGATCCACGTCATCTTCAAATCCAAATAGATGAGACCAACAAAAACTCGGGATTTCATCTCTAGACTTAGGAGGGTGATAAGTTCATCCTGAGGAGTGCCCTCACATAAATGCGACGTGTAATCATCACAAACATATATAAGAACAACTGAATTTTCAAGAGCTATGAATATCAAGAACATCTACAAACCTAATTTCCTTTTGCAAATTCAAATCCAAACACAATGAACTTATAAAACAAAGACGAGGGATTGTTAAGAATAATATTGATGGTGAGAATTGTGAGAACACCTCCCAGCCTTTGGATGA